CTGGTGGCATTTCATCCATTTGTTTATTCACCTGCCCAGAAGGACGAGATGTCACAGTGGGAATATCTGCTCTATCAGTGGCTTGGTCTGAGCTGAGAAAGTCTAGTCTAAATTATTTAATAAAAATAAAAATATTCTATACTATCACATAAAATTATTTCTCCTTTCCCCTGTCTCCCTCAATGATCTGGAAAACAAAACACTTCCACATTTTTGTAAAAACATAATATTGGATACGACATTATGGCCATGCGCTAAGATTTTTACAAGCTCTTTTGCACATCTCTGCATTCTACATTACTTCTGAAATGATACACAGGGAGAGAAAAAAAAGCCCTTGAAAGTGTACACTTTTCAACAAGTTCAAACTGGGGAATAGCCTGACATCACGTGAACAGTGTGGCGGCACTTACTTGATTCAAAAACAGCTGGGAGAGGAGATGTTCATCTCCATTAAGATTTCCAAAATCAGGGGCACCTGGCTGGCTTAGTTGGTGAGGCATGAGACTCTTAATCTCAGGGTCGTGAGTTCAAGCCCCACGTTGGGCGTGGAGCCTATTTAAAAATAAAAAAAAAATTTTTTTTTCCACAGTTAGGCAAAAACTCCCTGTTCCAGTTGTCATTGCAACCAGGCTGAGTAAGCCTGTGTGCACTTTATCCCGGCAATAGCAGGAAATCCCTGCTTGCCACGAGGTTAGAAAAGGCAGCCTCCTAACCGAACTGCTGAGGGGGAAGGGATGGAAATCAACTGGCAAAAGTTTGGGTCAAGAGGCATCAAACTGGGGAACGCTTTTACAAAGGAAGGGCAAGACTTTTAGCTCCAAGAAATGAGGATGGACACAGCCAATTACTCTGCTTTAATATGCTCCCATTTGCTGAGGAAGTAGCCTGCAGGAGAGTCAAGAAGCTTGAACTATTTTTAGGCCCATGACCCTTTTAAAAACACAGAGCTAAATTCGGTCCTCAGTTACACCCACTCAACTCCCACTGGCTTCAGCGGGAGCCACAGGGAGAACCCGCTCCCAATGCAGAAGAGCTTAGTTATGCCTCTGCGTTCTTTTTTTCACATGGAATGACAGTTTACTGGCCACGGCTGGCCATGGAAAGCCACCCAGCGGGTCTCCTGGCTCCAGGAGGGCAAAAGGCAGGGTCTTACATTCCAAGGACATCTCTGCCACACAACTGGATAAAACTCGTGTTTATTTGACAATCCAGGCAGAAGAGGGGGAAAAGCACATCCTTTTGAAAATGGCAGTCAGTCTATCTTGGAATTGTTTAAAATTATAATCTCATCTATAAAAGCCCAGATTTGAAGAACTGTATTATGTGGGCTAAATTAAACTTTGCCTCCAACTAGCATGGGGTAATTACAATAAGGGATCACATGAAGTTCACTGCTGTTGAATGCAACACAATTTGTGACCATCAACTACAGTTCGGCCGGGGCGGGGGGGGGGGGGGGGGAAGCATCATTTATAAATAATAGGTCCCAAGTCTGACTTGGGGGTGAGTGGAGAGCATTTGGCATCTCAAATTACTTTAACTGGGGGCCTTCATATCCCATGGAAAGGACACTTTGTCCCCCCTCCACTGTCTCTAAATCCTCCCTTCTTAAAGGAACACTCAGCAAGATAATGAATCCTTTAAATGTTACATCTTCTGTCGTGCATTATTGTGGTGCAGAAACTCTTCACATCAAACAGTCATCAGGACTATTACAAAGTGGGCTTATAAGAGAGGGGCTGAAAAGGAGCTGTGTGAAAAGAAGTGGAAAATTAAAGCTGAAGCAGTCGAAGAAAGGGCTTAATTTACTGGCATGTACAGTATGCAAATGAGATTACTCTCAGCTTAACTGCATCATTTATGTCCATAATAACGGCATCATCATTACAGGGCTCAAATTAAATTACACCATAATTAGCATATCAAAGTGATTGGTTAAAGTTTAAAACAAATACCCAATTTTGTTAATGAACAGCTGTAATTGTCATGTACACTTCAGTGAAAACTCTCTAAACAAATATATGTTTTAGAAGGGAGGAAGATTTTTTTTTTTTTTTAAGCAGACAGGTCTGTAGCAGAGGTAAATTACCTAAAAAAGAATGACATGGACTATTCTATTAATGTTAATATATGCTGATCATTTTCAGGTAATAAAGCATTCTATCAAAACAAGGCTTCACTTATATTTAGACACCTTCCCTGCTCCTGAATGTGACAAACCACCAGAACCCTGCTTCCACTTGCCGCAATGATAACAACGCAGGGGTGACCTGTCTCTAGCAAGCAAAGGACGTGTTCGATAACATGCTATTACTAAACCTCCATACTTATTGAAAAGACATCTGTGCTCAAATCGCGCCGACTCAAAGCTGATTTTCTCCGCATTCCAACCAAAAGAGGAAAGAGTGACAGAGCCAGAGAACTTGCGGAATTTATGGGGTAGACCAGAAAGCTCCTAAGTTGATGACCTGATAACATGTTCGACAGCCTCCAACTCGATCTCCCCTCCTGGAATCGGAGCGTACTTCTACAGCAGTCCCAAACATGCAGCTGCACCAGGGAAGTTTCTGCTCTTCCATCCTTAAAATAAATCAGGAGGCGCAACTAGCTGTTTTGTCAATGTTGGTTGCAGCCAGCATGCACACACGTTTTAGAGATGCAAAACCGTACACGGATAATAAGCTTGTTTTCAAACCTTTTTGTTATCATCCTTTAATGTCTGAAGAGTTTCTACACAAAAATCAATAATCTCGAGGCTCACGTGCAAAAAAAGCTCTCTGCCTAAGATTCTCCCCATTTCCTCCCAAACGTACCCCATATGTTCTCTGCTATATCTGTGAGGGTAACCATCCACTGTGATATACAGCAAGGCAAGCCAAAATATATTTTTCCCAAAAAGAAAAAAAAAGCACTTTCAAATATACTTAACAAGCAAATTGAATGTCTTATTAAAATCGTATTATCTAAACAGTGTTCAAAAATTTAAAGAAAGTAGCTTTTCATTTTATTCATCGAGGAATCCATTAAAGCTTAGGCTCTGAAGTAGTATGTAAATTATGTGCCTTTCAAGGTAGAGCTAGGGCAAATTCACTCCATCAACTAATGATGAACCTCATTATGTGCAGGGAGGATTCATAATGAGGAAAGAGCCACCCGCCATTCCATGTTCTAACATAAATCCCTGTAAAATTTGAATATCTCCCCGTCTAATTAAAGGCTACTAATTCCAATCACCCCCTCCATGGCCCCAAAGTAAAAATAAACCTCTTTAAAAGCACAGACTACAGTTATATTTCTAAAACAGCACTCGATTCTGTTTGGACTCAGAACCTTCCACTCAGATATGTTTTACGACAAGCATAATTAGCAGCTTTCTAAGATACAAACTTTAAGGCTGTTCAAGCTCATTTTGGTTAAATACATTGGATTTCTATTTTTCAAAGAGCTTCACCTTGACGGGGCTACAGTGCATGCACAGAGATGATCCGCAGCCAAGAAACCAACAGGAATGTGCGAGCTTCGTAATAACGTAAAATAAAATTCTTACACTTGATTTCCATGCTAAAGCTGAGATGTTCAGAAAAAAACAAGCATTGTGTGGCATGAACTCGAGATTACATTTGGATGGGGATGTATTCAAATCTGCTTGGGAACGACATACTTGATTCTGGAACAAAACTGCTCACTTTTAATGTGGTTTGAACTAATGAACAAGTACAGCCCAACGTGTCACAAGTCAAAGAACTATTCCTTCCTGGAATCACGGACTCTGATTTTTTTTTTTTTTTAACTGAAAACTATAGAATGCAAACCCAACGTTGCGAAACATATTTATTATGATTAATAGCCTGTAATATCCCTCACTAAGGCTTAATTTGCTCTTGTTTTCAATTATGAATCTGCACTACTCTATTCCAGTCCCCTTTTCAGGGAGAGATGAATTTCTTGTGGTCTTTACTCTTTGTATTGTACCGCCACCCAGCAAGGCACAATTAGTTAAAAGCAGCAAATCTCCACCTTGACTCTCACAGAGCACCAGATTACACAAAATTAGAGAACCAAATCAGTGAGAAATAAGTGAAGGTGTCCAGGGAATCAAAGCAATTAGACCAAAGGAAAAAGGAAAAGTACATATGCCAGTCACCCACTCACTCATACCTTTACATTAAAATTCAAAAGAAAAAAAAATCCTAGATCCTTTATTTAATTTTGATAAACTGAATATAGAATCCAACCAGGAAATCTTATCTGCTGCTGTCAATTCAAGTGTCCCCAAATGTCTGAACCCCAGTTTGGTACAATGTACACACCAGTGTGACATGAAGTACAGAATTTCAGGAGCTAACGAGTCCATTCTACTAGAGATGCCGCTGCTTTTTAAGTTGCATAAAAATAAACTCCACTCCATAAAAGCTGCCACAGTGCGTGCTCTCTCATCCCTCGGCTCCAGGCATGATCCCCCCCGCCCCACCACCCTGCCTTTTAGGTCAGCCACTCATGCATTAGGAAGACATCCCTCCCAAAATAACTTGGCCCTCCCCCGAAGCACAGAGTTGAGCAGCCTACCTTTGTTCTGGAGTTGCAGATAATAACAGGCAAGCCTCAAGACCATGAGGATTTGGAAAAGATCAGGAGAGTTGGAGGAAAAAAAGAAGAAGAAGAAAAAAAAAAGGAAAAGGAAAAGAAATACTGCAAGTAGAGAAGAACTGGAAGAAACAACGGGAAAAGCCTTCTAATGAACTGTAGTGGCTACCACAGGATCGGGGTGTCTTCACCAGTGTTTACACCAGTGAGTACACCTCTGCTCCATCTCATCCACAACTGGTGGCATTCCACCCCCCCCCCCCGAATCCATGCATGGCAATTAAAAGCAACTGCACCTCTCCGTTTGGGAGGGGGACCACAAAAGACCTCTGCAATATTTCTTTACAATGTCTATATCACTGATGAGCATTAGTTTGAGTGACAAAGGTCCCGGGCTAAATCAACATTCTTACCTTAATGTTCCTAGTAAAAGGCTCCAGGAAACATAACTCATGAGACATGTATGCAAAGATATGTCTCAAGGAATTAATCCAGAGCCCTCAGCTGAGGTGGGGGGCGGGGGGAGGGAAATTTTTTTAAAAAGGAAAAAAGAAAAAAGAAAAAGCAATGGCTTATTTCCAAACAAACGCAGCTCAGCCCGGGCAGCGATGGCATAGAACAGGTTTGCATAGACAGAGCTCAGTGGCAGAAGCGGGAGTTCTGTAGGATTTATTTGACACTTATTTTCCGGGAAGCCTTTTGTGGAGTTGTACCGTTTGTTTCTTATTGTCTGAGAGGCAGTTAGGAGCTTTCTCCCGGAGGGGGCCTCTCAACCTCTGGGCTTGGCCGCCTCTGACAGGGAGGTAACCATATTAGGATGTGTATGGTAAAGTAAACAATAACATAGTTGCAATGAAATGGAATTTTTTTTTCCAAGCTAATGGTGTTGGGGTCAGTCTGTCTTTTTAGCCATTCCCACTAATTTTGTTTCCTAGTTCAAACAGGCCCTCCTCCTCCTCCTTTTTTTTTTTTTTAAGTGTTAGCTGTTTCCAAATATCTGACTGTAAATTTGCTGAGAATGTTTGCAATGTAAGAAAAAGCTTTTAACATCCAAATAAAGATCCTGCCAGTTTAATCATTAAAGGGGATGTGAATTTTCAAACCCTTGCAAAGATCCAACTCTCCGCTACTTTCTTCCCCACCCCAGCCCCACCTCCATCTCTCCCTGAAGGTTAAAATTACTTGGTCATTTAAAAGTACCTTCTAAATAAATCAGATTTTTAAAGAAAGGGACCATTACCTTCATAAAAATTCCACATTCACATACTGTGTCACTGAGTGAAGAGTCTTAACCGTTCATGCGCCTGAAAATTTATTACCTGAAATTTCTAGGATGGTTACTTTTACGTGATAAACCTTTCCCACCTCTTCCAACTGCCCCCCCCAAGAAAAAAGCATAAAATACTGTTGTCACGCCAGCCTCTAGAAATCAGCTAACCAAACAAAAAAAAATATATCAAAAATGAGCTCTCAAGATGTTACATATTTAGGAAAAGTTCTGCCGGTCCAAAGACAACAATAAAAAGTAAGGCTGCTTTCTGGCCACTGTCACTCAGTAGGAGATTCCCGCCCAAGGAGCGAGGGAAGCATCCCCACTCAAGGTCAGGGCTGGCAGAGGAGGACAGCGGCGGGACTGAGGACCACAGACAGTAGGTGTGGACAGAGCAGGACCGCTGGGAGCCAGCACCGGCTGTGGGGGAGCGTGCTTCCATGTCTTAGTCTCCTAGGTGTGAGCCAGGGCTGCTCCTGAGAGATCTGCCCACACGAGCGTGTGTAAGCAGCCGCTGGCCCTCAGTGTGCAAGGAGGGGAGGAGGGGCACAGCACTGCTATCTGTGAGGACCCCAGGGACCACCCCCCGCACCGGGCATCGAGGCAAAACACGTGGCACGAGCGAAGGGGCACGGGCAGGGGAAGAAATGATACATGCAATTAAGAATGAAGCTGGGCTGACGGGGGAAATAAAACACACGTGACCCGGGCGAAACTTCCATAGCTCAGAAACTAAGACAGCCTCCCCTGCCTGGAACCCCTGGGCGGACCTCTAAACTGCCTTGGTTCTTAACAGATCCCTATCACCCAGAAACCTTAAACCCCTGCAACTCATGTTTTATTAAAACATGTTTAGCATTCTTCTTAAAGATAGGTTTTAACCCCAAATACCCATGAAATTAAATCTCCTATGCCACTTATCTGCACTGCCGGGCAAAAACTAAAGTTGAGCTAAACAGAGAGATAGCAAAATCAATAAATCACACGAAACAAGTAGCAGTTCAAAAGTTCAAATGATATGATGGCCAGTTCAGTGCGTCTTAGCGCTCACCCAATAATAACTGGTCTCCGTCACTCCTCACAGTATAGACAATTTCATGGCATCATTTTCATTAGGCTGTCTCATGGAAAATTGCTAGCTATTTATGTATACGCTAAAATAAATTAGCCATTTCATCGAGCAGTGTGATTCTTATAAAATACATTAACACAATACTCGATTTTCCAGTTGGAGTAAATAAATAAATCAATAAATTCAATACAGGATGATTCTTTTATTGTGGCGCTATAGCTCTCAGCATAAGTGTTTTTATTGGGTTTATTTGTTTCAATAAAAATTGAAATGGGCCAGTGATCTCAGTGCTGGCATCTTAAAATATATATATATATATATATATATATATATATCTCCAATATTTGGGAAAGTGCTGCACAGAGCACTCAAAATTGTATTCAAAAATCATCTTCATGATAATTATTACTCCACAACCCAATTCGGATGGGGAATTTCACAAAGGGAAAGGGGGAATTCTGCCAAGTGTTTGAGTCTTGCGGCATTTCTGCGCTACAGACTGGAGTCTGGGGGTGAGGCTTCTGAGAGACAGCCACCCCTCGCTGAGCCTGCGACCTTATGCCTCAGACGCGCCTCTTCCCTGGACAGGGAGAAACAACAGCGGGACAAGCTCCAGATGGCCTCTTCTGTCACACCTTACGGAACGCGCCATTGATTGTGGCTGGGAGAAGGCCATTTACTCCAACCTCTGGGGGAAAGACTAGGGTATCATGATTGCAAGAAAGAAGAGAGAGGTGTGCTGACGCTGTAAATAAACTCAGGCCCAAGGCCTGCTTGCCGCTCTGGAGGCGAAAGGGAGACACCAGAAAGCATGAGATTTTTTTTTTCCTGGGTCACCAGTGCAACTGAAATCAAAGGAGAACAGGGGAATGGATATCTGTTGTTTATGCCTGCCCAACACCCAAGCTCCTCTTCCTCTGATAACACTCGCCGTATTTTGCTTGGGGAAATGCCCCATTCCCCCATCTCTGGCTGGTGAGCTACAGTCCATGGATGCGTCTCTCCACTCCAGAGGGTGGAGCCATAAACCAGGTCTGACCAATCCCTGCGCTCTGCTCTCCTGGGCGCCCTGATTGGCTGATGGATAGATACGTCCCAAATCAGAACTGGGAGGGAGGGAGAGAGAGAGAGAGAGAGAGAGAGATACAGATACAGATACAGTCCTTTTGCTTTTGAGAGCTTTGAGAACATGGACTGGGCTGGCTGAAAGAGGCCAGGACACAGCAAGTCAGAAGTGAGGCCAAGAGTAGGACAGATTCCTAACAGAGCCCATAGGGGGCCATCCTACTCCTGGACTTGTTCCATTATTGTAGCCAATGAACTTCCCTGATGTGCTTAGCCAGCTCACTGGCACTGCGTTACTTGCACCAAGAGGTGCGATCCAGGAAGTCAAACTAAATATGTGTTCTATATGTACTCTGTAATATATGTGAGCCCTGATGAGAAAGCAAACCAAATAAAAAACACACAAATCGACAAACTCCCACAGCTAATACTCAAATCCGTAGACCTCACATATGCTATGTAACCTGATCATCAGCCATGTTCTCTGCTCTGCTGTCCCTGGAAAGAAAGAGCTAAAAGAATGAGTCAGGACCCACAGTCAAGAAGAACTCAAGATGATCTCAAAGCAAAGTAAACTGGAGATCTAAAATAAATCCAGTGTGAGGTCTAATACAGACTTGATAAACTCTCTTCTCTAGGCCACTGGTGGTGGTGGTTCAGGTCAGGGATGGACCAACCCATCAGTTTAGGTGAACAGCCAGCTGGCTCACACAACAGGCCTTGTGTCTTCTGATCGGACTCATGGACGAGGGATGAAGATGTGGTTTTTTCATTCTCTGATAAAAGTTGTATTTTGGTGCGGAGGGGGGATAGCGAGGTCCTGCCAGCCTGCCTGGCTTTTAGCCCTGGCTCCAGCCCAACTAAATTGGCAAACGAGGGCCCTGATTTCCTCCACGGCCAGGAGAGGACCCCAAATCAATACAGCCAGGCTTCCTTGGGAGTAGTATCCATAGTAACACAAACAAACAAAAAAAATCACAATAATTGAGATGCTACCAACGACTTTATTCTTAATATGCCAGAGACCATATTAATCACTTTACAGGTATTGCTCATTTCACCTTTAAAATAACCCTGTAAGATGCACATTGTTACTACCTTCATTTTATAAATTAGTAGAGGAAAGCTCAAAGAAGTTAAGGAACCTGTTCTTAGCCACAGAGCAGATAAGGGGTGGAGCATCAAGTACCTGGTGGCTAGTCCGTTGGACAGTAGGGGTTGTCCACAGAAAGTTCTATTGGGTAGGGTTTTTCTGTAGATGTGTGGTTCTCATCCAGGAGCGATATTCCGCACCAGAGAATATTAGGCAGCGTCTGGAGACATTTTTAACTGTGACAACTGGAGTGAGGGTGATGCTAACTAGGAGTGCTGGTAAACACCCTACCATGCACAGGACAGTTCCCACAATGGAGAGTTACTGGCCCAACACATCAGTGGTGCTGAGGTTGAGAAGGTCTACTCTCCCAGGCAGGTGGACCCTGGTGGTCCGCAGCTCCTCAGCAAGAGTTTTAAAGCAACTTCTACCAAGATTGCAGGTAGCCTGTGTGTGGATATAATACTGATGTGGAGTAGGGTTAAAATTTGAGGCTGAGTCTAGAAAAGACTTGTCCCAAGTCCCACAGTCTTAATTACAGGCAGGGAAGGATCTGGAGAGCTACCTGGGGAGTCCAGTTGACACCAATGTAGCTGAGTCAGGAGAAATAAGGGGGCCACGTTCTTGGTTCCCCTCTTTCCTCTGCTTTCTCCTTCCTCACTGTCCCTTCTCCCTGAAAACTGAGTGGAGCCAACCATCTACATCATACTGTCTTGAGTGGGGTGGATTGACATTCCACTTCAGGCCTGCATCAGTCGCCAGGACATCAGTGTGAGCAACCAGGGTTCACGCTGACCATGATTCTTGGCAGCAGGGGAAGGCTGTTATCATGTCCCAGAAACAGGTGTTCCATTCCGAGCTGGGTTCAGATCTAGGCTCCACCACTTGAGGCTCCTGAGCACTTGACACATGGCTAGTACACTAGGGAACTAAATTCTTAAATTTATGTAATTTTAATTAAATTTAAATAGCCACACACATCTAAGGGCTACTATATCTTGGACTGTGTGCAGTTTTAGAAGTGTGGCAAATTTTCCATATTCATGAGAATCCGATCCTCAGCAGATGGATATCTGGTTCCCAGTTTGAGATTCTATATATTAATTAAAATTTTTATTTTATTCTCAGTGGAAATGGCTTTGGTCATGACTTTTTAAAAATTCCACTCTTATTCTAAATCTCCTAATTTTTCTAAAAATTTTCATCTAATTTTTATATCAATTCTGATCACA